TCTCTCTCTCTCTCTCTCTCTCTCTCTCTCTCTCTCTCTCTCTCTCTCTCTCTCTCTCCGTGTCGCTCCCTCTCCATTGTGCTGCTTGTAGAGGGACGATTGCGAAGGGCAAGTACTCAGACACGGCGGAGGAGCCCAGCTACCGAAGCAAGGCAGCCGAGCCACAAAAGGAACCTTCCAAGGTACGCGGGCGGCGACGGGCGGGGGTACCAAATACGGCGAGACTGCAAACATGAAATTGCGACGGAACGAATGAAGCGGCCCTGAGACAAGGGTATAGGCACGCTTTCGATTTTCCAAAGTCTAGATGAGTAGGGTGGTTGGTGTCAAACGTGCGCCTTCTGGCGATGGGAACGCATGGTTAAACTGCGTGCATTGGCAGGAGAGGTACATCGAAGCTGCCCAAGCTAGGCTTGCCCCTTGTCGATGCATGGAATATTTTGCCGAAAGAGAGAGGGAGAATCGTGACTGTCTTCCACACATCCAACGAAGTGATGTTCGAAAGGAACACTTGCACATGCATTGAAACTGTGAGTTATATCCCGAATGTTGTCCAGCTCTTGTTTGCTTGTTGATGACGCGACGGTTTTGGCCTCGCTGTGACGTTTAAACTTATTTCTGGTAGACTTGAAAGAGCCAGGAAGAGGAGGTACAAAAGTGCTTGGGCAAGGACCCCGACGGCTGTTTTGCAAGGGACACGGTATCAACAGCAACAGCACCGACCGCAGCCACGCGTCCGAAAATTTACCCTACGCAGTGCAACCCGCCTGCCTGGCTGGTGGTGGCTGGTCACGGGCGACGATAGACCCGGTCGTATTATCCCGTGGTGCCGAGCCACAATCCTCACGGATGCCCACTAGTCTAGGCCGGCGAAAACCCGGCATATCGCTCCGTCCCGGAGTTGTAGGGATGCGAGAGCAATGGTCTAACGACTAACGCAAGGCATGCGTTTCCATGAGTACCCGCCTTCCCTCACAACTCACGGACCCCGCCCCCTCCGAACCAATCCACCACCCCTCTCCCACACGTTGCCGCGCCAAACCGACAGCCTAAGCGCGACCGCAAGAAGTCTTCCGGCAGCGGTGGCGGCCCGAAGCTGACAATCAAGATCAAGGAGAAGGGCGGCGACGGAGGGAGCTCGACTCCGAAACCAGCCGCAGCTGCCGCTAAAGCTGCCGCTAAAGCTGCCCCCGTTCCAGATCTACTAGGTGGCGATTTCTTGACCTCCGACCCCGCTCCCACGGCTGCTACCGCCGCCGCCGCAGGCGGCGGGTTCGGGGACATGTTTGCCGCCGCTCCCGCGAACGGCGGCGGCAGCGGCAGCGGCTTCGACGGGTTCGATCCCCGCGGCGGGGGATCTTCCGCAGCTGCTGCTCCTGCGGCCCCAACTCCGGTGGCTGCTGCTGCCGCGACACCGGCGGCGGCTCCGGCTGGAGGCGGCGGCGTGTTCGGTCAGGATTTTTCGGGTTTTTCTGCGGTGCCGGCGGCGGGTCAACCGCTCGGGGCGGCGGCCGGTGGCACGGGCGGGGCGGTGAGCCATATTGTTTTTTAAGAAGATGTACATGCACTCCAAATAACGCTAGATGCCCTTCCAAGATACAGTATTATACCGCGGGTGAAGGCCATGTGTTGGAAGAAGTTTTTACGGTGAATATCTCGGGGGTGGTGGTGTGATAAGCACTTACACGACGGTCGGGTTGTTGTTGTGATAGGAGTACCGCTGCTTGACCAGCAGAGCAGAGCAACTTCTCTAGCAGAGAGAGGAAAATGAACCGCACCGCATAGATATCGAGGAAGAACAAGCCAAGGGCGCTCTGGATCAGTCCAACTTGGTCTTTCAGCCGAAGCAGATGGAGCATGCAAGTGTATTCGCTCAAAGTAGGATCAAGGATGAGGAGATCGGGGCGTTGCGGGAAAGACCGAAAGCTATTCATGGAGACAAAAAGCCATCCAGAAAACCCGACCCAAAAATGGGGGGTGTCGCGGCCGGGTGGGGGGGGGCGACGACCCTGTTCTTGAAATGCTTGTCCATGGCGAACAGATGAGGTTCTTCGACTTAATATTTGAAGGTCGACGAACCGACTATTTAAAGTCGAACATCGACTTGTTGCCATGGCCAAGCATTTCAAAGATAGTGTCACCATGCCCTCTCGGTGTGCGACGCCCCTCGTTTTTGCTCAAGTTTGGTGGACGGACTGTTTGTGTCCCTGGATAGCTTTCAGTCTTTCCCGCAACGCCCCGACCTCCTCATCCTTCTTCTTACATCAAGCGGAGTATTCACTTGCATGTTCCGCCTGCTTCTGCTGAAAGACCAAGTTGACCTGATCCAGAGTGCCCTTGGCCTTGTTCATGCTCGAGATCTGGAGCGGTTCCTTTATCCTCTCCATACGTCGACACACAGTGCCTTCAACTGTCTCTGAAAGTGAAGCACCAGACAATAAATTAAGTCATGCAAGTCATACACAGCTGTCATCCGTATGCAAGGAAGTAAGCACAAGATGCCGAACACCCTTAGCAGGATGCAGCGCACCCTTCATGCGACTCGCCGAATACCTCACGGCGCTTCGCCCTTGGTGATGTGAGAGCCTGGTCCGGTGAGAACCCGGCGTGCTCCGTCCCGGCTTTGTAGGGATACGAGGTCAATGGTCTAACGACTACGGCGTGCACGACTATGGGTACACCCCCCCCCATACGTCGACACACCGGCAGGTGGGGTCTTTGTTGGGACATGGAACCGACTTCGACCACCTCCTGCAGATCGGATAGAGGAGAGTGGCATGCTTGTACTGCTTTTTGTTAGGACGTTTGCCGCGGCGTACCGCCTGGATGCGAGAGTCACCCGCGTGCGCTACCGCATTCTCCAACACAACGCCGGAGCGTTGAGTTGGGTTTGCGGAGGGGCTTTTGAGCCGTTGATACGTTCAGGCACAAGAGTGTGCGTCTTGTGCGTCTTGAGATGATGCACTCGACGGGATTTTGAAACGTTCGTGGAGCAGGAGCTCAAAGGAGGCAGTGTTACGAAGTCGTGTTTCGAGGGACCTTTTGTTTTCTCGGAGACCTTATGAAGTCTCAGGCCACAAACGTCCGATGCATACATACAATGCCTTAAGAGGGTGGTCAGAGGGATGACGCTTCCCCCGCTACCAAAATGGTCAACACACGCCGGCGAGCTGGGCAAGTCCATTGCAGCGTTTGTGGTGGCATATCTATGGTGCATGGGACGGTTAGACCACACGCCAATCGTTTCAAGTGGCCATGTGTTTCGCGGGGAGGGCCCGCCAACGATGTCGAGGCTGATTGTGACACCCGTTTCCCCTTTGCATGTCTGGTTTGGCACGGCCGAGGCAAGGATGATGATCATCTCCTGTTTCGTCCTTGTCAAGCATAGCCTGGGCCGGCGGAAACCCGGCACATCCCTCTATCGCAGCATTGGTAGAGATGCGAGCTCAACGGTCTAACGCAGTTCTACGGCTTGCGTTTGAAGCACATGAGTTCTCCCCACCCCCCTCCACCCGCCCGGCCGCCCACTCGTCCGAATTTTGGGCTTCTCTAGGCCTTCGGAGACCCTTTCGCGGCCGCACCTGCCGTCGTACGGACGACCACCGCAATCGGCGGCAGCGGCGGCGGCGGCGGCGGTGGCGCGTTCTCTGGCAACAACGGTAACGGGGCCGTGCACGCACGTGCCCCCTCCACCGGAAACGAGGACTTCAGCGATTTCCAGGGTTGCAGCGGCGCGCCCGGCGGCGGCGGCGAGACTACGGGCGCGGCCAGCGGCGGCACGGGCGCGGCGACGAACGGCGCCGTGACTAACCCCAAGTGGAGGGACGTGTCGTCCCTTGTCGATCTCGGAGGGCTGAGCAGTAACACGGACAAGAAGGTGCGGCGTTGTGTCGTGGGAGGGCGGGAAGGACCTGATCAGATGTTTGGGGTGTGAGGGGGGCACTCTGTCTCCTTTGCTGCATGTACTCTGTTCTCCTGGTCTTTGCTTCTCTTTTTGGCTTGTGCGTTTCGTGTGTCGAAGTGTTACTGCCGCGATGGGGGGTTTGAGGAACCCCGCAATGGCGAGAGAGGGGGGGGGGGTCCTTTGTTCTATCTCGAAAGAGACTGGGGGCGTCGCGACTCGACAGGTACCCTCCTTCGGTCGCGTTCTCTCCGGGTTTTTACCCCCCCGCTGTGAACACTCCCAGCTCGTGGGCGTTCGTTTTGGCCGATGCAGTTTGTATTCGAAGAGCATGTCAGTGGTTCGGTTGGCTTGGACGCGACTCTGTGTGGAAGACAGGAAGTGGTTGGAGATGCGGCTACCGAAGAGCTCGTGTTTCGACTACGGCACACGACACGAGAAAACACCAAGTTTGTGTAACCGGCAGTTGAACGAGGCACGTCGGATAGAAGCGGAACTGTTTTCGAGGGCGGTCGTCGATATGAGTAAGGCAATCAAGACATGAGGATGTGTACACATCGTCCAACACGATGCGTGTGGACGACCAGGATAGAAAACGCTCCTGGTGTTCCGATACCAAGCCTTGGGAGGCAACACAACCTGCCTTTTGATCGCAAGTGGGGGGCGCAGCACATCCAGGGTCTTGCTTTCTCTTCCTTCCGTGGCTAAAACGGAGTAAAAGTGAAGTCGACTTCGTCGCCGGACGCAGAGTACAGCGAGATGGAGCCATGACTGTCCATATTTCGTTGTGTTCCTCGAAGTTTCCGTTAAATTTATAAACCTCCGCACACACAAACATTTATTAAATTAATGCCCATTGGAATCTCGTAGGAATCCATTTGGGCAGCAGATCGCAAAGCTGCTAAAAACGCGTACTTAGAATTGCTAGTCCAACCTAGAATTAAAATACCGTAAACACCTAGAGGAGATGTCACTAAAAAATGTAAACCTCCCAGCTGAGTATCAGCAATAACATTACCAAAACTATTGGGAAAAACTGTCTAACTAATCAGAGTACAAAGAAGAGATAGCCTGTGCCCGCAGAAGCTATAGTAGTCCACTTGCCTTGTGGGGAGTGAAGATGAGGAGGCCAATGTACTGGGCAAGCGTAATGTGGCGAGAAGGCAGTAGCAAGACATAATTCAATACTTTTGAAAATCCCCTGTCTGCGTTGGCGGTAGGTTGCGGAGCAGAAGGTCGTGGAGCAGACGTTTCAGTCGAACAACAACTCCTTCGCGGGCCTGGACGGCTTCAAGGCACCCCAGCCGCAGGGCATGGGAATGAACCGCCCCCTGTCTGGAATGAAGGGTTTGTCGAGTGGCGCAGGAGCGGGGATTGTGATGGGAGGAGGTATGGGCGTCCAGCAGCCGATGCAACAGCCGATGCAACAGCCGATGCAGCAGCCGATGCAGATGCAGGGGGGGTGGATGGGCGCCCCCCAGCAAGGCATGGGCGGCGCGGGCGGGATGGGGGCTTGGGCACAGCAGCAGCAGCAGCAGCAGCAACAGCAGCCGGGGCAAGGCTTCGGCATGGGAGGAGGGATGATGGGAGGGATGATGGGAGGGATGCAGGGAGCCAGCGCCGGCGCTGGGGGTGCAGGGATGGGCATGGGAGGCATGCAGCAGCAGGGCGGTGCCGGGATGGGAGCCAACAAGCCGGCAGCGGCAGGGGGTACGACGATGCCCGGCGGATTCTTCTAGATGAAACCATTTACCCGGTCGATAATGAATGGTCCAACACAGTTTTCCTTTTTTTTTTTCTGTATTTTCTTGTGGCCTGCTTGTGAAGCTCGGCAGGTAGTATTGCCATGGTGAAGCGCTGGACGGCACCGTGGTACTGACGGAAGTCTTCGTGCCGACTGCAACAAACGCTCGTGGTGGTGTGTATTGCAACGGCGATAGCCTGTGAGGGCGGAGGATGAAACGATATATTTTTTTCGACTCGGAGGCAGATTTTCAGGGAAGGGCGCACGTAGGTTGATCTCCCCCTCCCCACCTGGTGTGTTTGGTCCATTATGCAATCTTTTTTCATTCGTCATACACCATTGTATGCGGGGCTCCAACTTTGTTGATGAGGGGTTTAGGTGTGGGGTATGCTTAGGACAGCAGAACAGTATGGACCACTTGAGGCCCTGCCGCTTATTTTGTTGTAGCCGCTGACCCCCCCGACGGGGGGTTTGCCAGCGGTTCGCTCGCTGTGCTTTTGTTAAAACAAATTGTCGTCTCGGAACTGGGAGCTCTATGGTTTGTTGTGCACATCGGCACCACGTAACAATATCCTGGTCTGGCGCAAGCCTTTTTTTGTCTCTTCGTCGACGCCAATGAGAATACCCTTTCTCTGTTACGAGCAAGGTCCCTGAAGTGGTGAATAACCGTTCACCAACGGAGGTATTTCGCTCTTATTGAGATGTGGCGAGGATGTGCCAAGCGTGGCCGAAGTGGTTCGGCCGTGCTAAAAAGGTGAAAAAGAGAGAGTGAGCCTTGGTGGGCCCTTTCATCCTCCGTCTGGTCACAGCAGGCGGAGGTTCTTTCTCTGTAAACATCTGCAGACCTGTAGAACTGTGTTCGCAGGGTCTCCGATCTTCACTGGTTGTATGTGCGTCAGTACCGTTAGGAAGATACCTATATCCAGGTTTCCACATCGACGCCAATGAGAATACCCTTTCTCTGTTACGAGCAAGGTCCCTGAAGTGGTGAATAACCGTTCACCAACGGAGGTATTTCGCTCTTATTGAGATGTGGCGAGGATGTGCCAAGCGTGGCCGAAGTGGTTCGGCCGTGCTAAAAAGGTGAAAAAGAGAGAGTGAGCCTTGGTGGGCCCTTTCATCCTCCGTCTGGTCACAGCAGGCGGAGGTTCTTTCTCTGTAAACATCTGCAGACCTGTAGAACTGTGTTCGCAGGGTCTCCGATCTTCACTGGTTGTATGTGCGTCAGTACCGTTAGGAAGATACCTATATCCAGGTTTCCACACTGGTTTTTATTTTTCCCTCTGTGGCGGAAGCACAAAAATGGGATTTTTATAGCATATACATACGAGTAGGTTGAAAGGCGCACGCGTGTCAGGTGATTTGAAGGCACTTGTTGTCTGTTGTACGTGATCCTGAAGTTCACTCATCTATCTACTGCTGTTGATCCCATTTCTGGAAAGTTCTCCAGTTCTCCGCTCGAAGCGGTGGTCGTGGTACAGGCTGTTCCTGCGCCTCGTTTTCTCTCGCCACATACGCCCGACAGCTGCTTATTACTTTTCTTAAGCAAAATTAATATCAGAAAGACAACCCGTTCGGGCTATTGCTCCAGTCGACAGGGATGTGCGTGAAGCCTGTACAGTGAATGGAGGGAAACTGGCTTTTCAAAGCTTTTCAAATTATGATCAAAAATGGCTTTGGTACTCTGCACCATGAATACGGTGAGACTCAGACCGGCCTAGACAAAGGGTTACCGAAAGCACTTTGTATTCGTTCGTTCCGTCTGGTGTTTGGTAAGAGCCCTGCCCCCAACCACGCCAACAACAGTAGTACTCTGCGAGCGTTCCGGCCGGTTCACTAGAGGAAAACACCTGCGGCCATGATGGCGCCTTTTTGGGCACGTTGTAGCCGCTATGTACATTCTGAGGTCCTGCTCCGAACACCAGACTCGCTTTCTTTAGACACAAAAGACTACCGTTCGAGGTAATTAAACCACAATCGAAAGGGATGTGCTGAAATATTTTCATTGAGTTGAGGGAAACCGGCTGGAAATTGGGCTTATTTTGAGCAGTCGAACCTGTGCACTGAATCATACCACTGATAATTCCAGCTGGTGCGAAGAACAAGTGCATCTGCGACTGCTGTAGGTAGATACATTTCGCATACCCTGTACATGCAGCAGTGTTGCATGTGGCACATAAGGTGGACGTGTGTTTGCTGGTTGGTTGATGGGATGGATTGGCTCATGAAGATGACTTCAATATGCCACGACGACAGGGTGCACATTCGTAAGGCGGGGAATAATAGAGCGGGAGAGCGGGACGTCCTTCCTGATTTTGGGTCGAGCCAACTGCTGTGTTTTTTTAGCTGGACAAAGAGATAGGTGGGAAAAAATGGCATCTGTGCCTTACTTAGATCATGCTAACCAAGGAGATGTCGGGGTAGAGTTAACCATGAGCCATGGACAACCTTTGTGACTTGGTGCAGGAGGAGACGCGCATAGCGAAGCAGGGAACAGTGAGCGAGAGACAGGAGAAAGGGGAAGAGAGGCATAAATAGACTCTAAATAAGCCCAGTACCCAGCCAGTTTCCCTCCATTCACTGTAAAGACTTCAACACATCCCTTTCGACTGCTTTGGTCATATGTCGAATGGGTAGTCTAGTCTTTCTGTATCTGTAGTCTATGTATTGATATTTATTTTATGTTATTTTATTTTTCTGAGTACAGTCGAGGTCCCTGTTCAAGGCCGTCATGTGCCACGGCAAAATACCGGCCTTAAACAGGGCACCCGGCCTTATTCGGAACGTCCTTTGTTAAGGCCGATATCGGTCTTAAAAAGGATCTACAATTCCTCAATAAGGCCGGTACCCGGGCCTTATTGAGAATTCTTGAGTTGTTGAAGGATGCATCTAAACTCTACACAGAGCTTACTTACATGGGCATGAAGAAGGCCTACAACATGCCGGCTGGAGGTAGCAGGGGTGCGCAATTTCAGTGTCATGGCCCCGCTTTGGGTGAGCATTTATTGTAGAGCAACAACGGGGCCGTATAGTTGACCGATGTTCGATCAACCGCCTCGCCCATATGGATTTTTTTTTGTTTTCGTCACATAGACTAAAACAAGTTCGCTTCTACCCAGCCCCCCCTACTCCCGACTACAATCTTACACAAGCTAACACATGCATGACAAAAAAATAGAGTCCCAAGCTTCGCCGAAAATGAACCATCAAGTATAGAAGGCACATTCGTGACCGTCAGGGGCTACCGGCGTCCGTCCTTGCAAAAGACACCGCTCACCAGCCGCACACGGCATGGTATACCCTGTACTGCTGTGTTTACTTGTTGCTTCGCACAAACATACCGCAGCTGCTGCCAGGGCTGTGAATCAGAGGGTGGGCGAAGTTGGGAGTGGGCGATGTGGGCATCGCTTTGCCAACCCCAAATTATTCCTGAACTTCTCCTCGCATAAATATTAANGGTGTTTCGAGGGTTAACTGCACTTGCGGGCCTCGGCCTCCCCCGGGGAGGGGAGGAGGGGGGGAGGCGGAGAGTATAGTCTATATTTGTATATTTTTACTGCCCACATATGCATGTGCTGTATTTGAACATGTGGTTGCGTGGTAGGGGTGCGGAAGGTGTTTTTCTGTCGTGCGTGCGAAGGTGGGGGTCTGGATGCTGCACGTAGGACTGCAAGAGGTGGCTGAATGAGCCTGTGTGCGTCACAACCGGCCTTTTGAGTGTGAGAAGAGGCCCAAAGCGGCCTTATACAGGGACCTCCCTGTTCAAGGCCGGTGGCGGCCTTAAACAGGACGAAATCGGTGCCAAGGGATTTCACCGGCCTTAAACAGGGCAACTGGCCTTAAATAAGTGACCTAAAACAGGGACCTCGACTGTAATAACCCAACGAATCCATCTCTATCTAGTTTCCTCAGAGAGAGAGGGGGTTTGGCGGCGGGATCGATACCGATTGGCGGCAGCGGCGTAACCTCGTCAGCCCGAAATTGAATGCGCTGGCGTTCATTGGTATTCAGTCCGTACACACGAGGCCGAACGTGATTTGTACAGGGGCGTGCGATGAATGCTTCGTTGTGTGTGCACCTTTTCATGTGTCCATTTCTCAAATCAAAGCAACCAAAGTTTCAAAACGTGTAAAACTCTCCGCACTTCTTTCTGGGCAGGGGGTGACGGCGTGACGGCACATGCAGGAGACTTGCTGTCTGCGCTCCTGCTGTTCAAGAGATGGCCGAATACTACGAAGCCCTTGTGCTTTTCGACTACCAGCCGGTCTCGATCGACGAGCTCCGCCTCTTCGAGGGCGAACTGGTAGAGGTACGGGTTGGTGGGGAAGGTGTCGGTGAGGAAGAAGGGTGGCTCTACGGGTCAGATCAGAGGGGTCGCCATGGAACATTCCCGGCCAACTACGTGACGGACGCTAGTACTGCCGCCGCCGTTGCTCAGACCCTCCCCGGCGACAGCACTGACGCCAACGGTGGTAGGGCCAGCGTCATGTCCGCGGCTCTGCCAGGCGAAAGCTGGAGTAGTGGGCATACATCTCCTACCGAATCTCAAGACGACCAGGCAACGGCGCGCGCGACGGCGAGCCTTGGTCCTGCACGCGGTGGACTTCGGAACGAGGAACCCGTTGGGGCAGCGTATAACCCTGGTTCAAACGCAGACAGGGAAGCTTTCACATATCAGGGGAAACAAGAACGAAGACCAGACAATCTATACACACCCGGCACCTCAATGCACCAACAACACGACCACGCCGTAGACGAAGCATCACGGCCAGCACCGACGACTCACAACAGTGCTATCGTGGAGGACGGCGTTGTCTCTGATTCCCATCGGGTGCCAGACGGATGGTTTTCGGCGACGGATGAGTCTTCGGGGGTGATGTACTACTACACGGAGGACGGGCAGAGTTCGTGGACAAGACCACCCGCAACGACTGCTGCTAAGGTCAAGCCGTCATCGATGGTGCGCGGTGGAGATCAACTCACGAGCAATGGCAACGGTACCACGTCGACCGTACGAGTGAGCTTTGATGTACCTGTGCCTTCCACCCCCTTGACCTAAACGGACTCTTATGATACTCGACGCTGTACCCACCTCTTGGGTGAACGATAGGGTGGAGCATCATTGGGCTCTGAACCACAATGACGATCCTGGTAGTACGTTGCGGAAACAAACCCATGTCAGACCAATATCATCGAGCCTGGTCATGCATTGCGTTCCGCGGGAACGCCGATTTCATTTGCTCTCCGATTCAGCTCGCGCATTGCCCACCATCACGCCGACCGCTGTACCGACGCTGCTCTCCGTTTACGATGCCGTCATGCCGATAAGACCCGCCAACTCGATGGCGGCGACGATGAGCAAGAAAGGAAGGCGAGAGATCTAGCGGCGGCGCGTATCCAGGCCGTCGTCAGCGCGAAGCGTGACCGGAAAATCAACAACAGCGTACAAATGAAGGCAGTGGCCCACAACGAACACACAGAAAATGAAACAGGGGGAATCGTTGGGCCCAAGGATGGCGACTGGCATACGTATGGCAGTGACAATGCCGACAATGCCAGTGTCGGAGCAGAAAGCGGCGGGGAGTTGGCCTGGTCGATGATCAAGAGTGAAACGGAAATGTCCCCTCCCGCGACCCTAAGCGCGGTGTCGCCGGAGACTTCTGCTGAAACCAGAGAGAGCCAAGAAGCTAAGCTTGACAGAGGCGTGGAGAAGCTCATCTTGTCCTTGGTGGATGAACGAATCATGGCGAGTGAGCTGTAGATGTTCTGTTTCTCCCGCGAGAAGCTAATCAAGGATATCCGCATCAGTTAATTCGTGTGTGCACAGTCTATCAGGCCGCCCAAGAGTTTTGAGAAATTATTTCCAAAACAGGGCAACCCCTTTCAAACGCGCGTCAGTTCACTTGGTTCGCTCGGAATCTCAACAGGTGTTCTTTCGGTTGGTTCTTACTCGACAAGGATTTCGGGGTTTCAATCGACCGCATACATTGGTTTCTGATCTCGTGCGGTTGATGCTGCAGTGATTCTGGGGCAGCGGCTTCGGCGTGATGAAGAATCGGGAGTCTATGAACCAACATCGCACACAACGCCGTCGTACAGAGATTCCTGTCGGCCAGCAAAACGTACTGCATGGTGCTCGCAGAATCCGGTTCAACAACAACAAAGCACACGTGTGGCGTTTTCGTGTCCCTCCTCGCGATTTCGCCTTATGCCCCCCCTACTACGATTATTGTTTTCTGTTTCAGGAGGAAATGCGCCGGCGCGACGCCATACTCTCGGACGTCCGAGAAACCTTGACGGTGCTCACCGATCGACTGATCGCAAAGTCGGCGAAGAGGAAGAGCAAGCGGCCGCCTCAACCTCCAGAAATCACCGTGGGAGGCAGCGAGCACGAGCTGTCTCCCCCGCCTACGTTACGGCGAGAGACGTCGACGCCAGAAGTTGAATCGCGGAGACTAATAAAAAAGCTGGCCATGCGACCCGAAGTGCTACTCGGAACGACGGTACGGTCGCCTCCAAAATCAAGACCTGAGACGACAAAAAACGCGGTCGGACAGCCTCTGTCGCAGCAGGAGCAGCAGCGGCAGACAACACCTCAGTTGAACGACCCGACCCACCTGCGTGCTTCCCCTGGGCGTTGCAAGGCTGCTAGCCCTCGGCATTCAGCAGCTGACGGCCGCTCGATGGGTCAGCCCCCTTTCCGCGCCGGAGGTTGCATTGGCCGGGGTCCTAGCCATCATGTCGAGCGAGATGCCTACGGCGGTGGCGGCGGAGCAGAGGCGTTCGGCGTGGGGAAGAGATCCCCGCCCCCGCCGTCGCGTTCCCAGCCACTCCGCGCGCTCGTAGATTGCGAGGAGCGCCTTTCCTACCGAGACCACCTCCGCGATAGTAGCGGAGACAAAGCCGAACCTTTTTGCACCCCAGAGCGGCGGCGACGGCGGGGAGACCAGAGAGCGCGAAGAGGACCAAGCGGGAACGCGCTACACAACGCCGCATCGCCGTCCACGCTTCCTCGAACGGCCGACCGGCACTGCGCGGCGCTCGAGAAGCAGCAAGCAAAGGCCGCACAGGCCGTCGTCGCGCTTCCCAGTCGGCACCGGTCCTACGACACCAGCGGGCACGAACACCACCACCCCCGCCACGGCGGTGCCCCCCTCTACCCTCCATCCTGGTACGACCCGAAGCAGGCAGACAAGTCGCGCCCCGACTCCAGCCTCGTCTTGGAGTATGTCCACGGGTACGCCGGGGAGACGCCGGATGTCCTATCCAGAGGCGTCGGCGGCAAGTTCGGCGGCGGTGTCGGCGGCGGTAGCGTTGGTGGAGGAAGGAACTCGGCGACGAGGAGCACCAACGTGTTGTGGCTTCGCAGCGGCGAGATCGTGTACCCGGCCGCCGGGGTGGTCGTCATCCACGACTTCGAGACCAACCGGCAGCGTTTCTTCACCGGTCATGATGAGGCGAGTGTTGCATTGCACCCCCCGCCCTTTCGGAGCTCGTTAGGTGGAAAAGTGGGCAGAACACGTAGCGCCATAATGAAAGTGGGGTAGTGCATGTGCTGGCGGTCGGTGGTTGGGCTTGGTGGGGAGAACGGCTGATAAACGTCCCGTACGGATACCCCCGCCAGAAGTGCTTGAGCTGCCGTCTGTGTTGCCAAATGTGTGTTGAAACTGGCATACACCCTCCCGTCGACCTGCTGACGCGACGATGAACTTGCGGGGAATGCACCGGTGGACTCTTCACCGCACGTTGAGGAGCTTCATCGGCCATCCCACAAAGGCTTCACTGGTAGTGTGTGTGGTGCCCGACAGTCAAGCCGCGAAGACGTGCCTAACCAAAAACCGTGCCCGCCCCCCCCCCCATCTTCCCCGCCCAAAAACCCCTGTTGCTCCCGTCCATCACCCCTGTCTTGCCCGCTCCCGGCGACAACCTTCTCAAAAACGGACGAAACAGGAAGTCACCGCCGTCGCCGTGCATCCTCACCACGACATCGTTGCCAGCGGGCAGGCGGGGAGAGAGGCCATCGTGTGCCTGTTCGACGCCACTCAACGTCGGTCGGGGGCCGGCGGCGGAGGGAGGCGTGGCAGCCAGGAGAACGACAGTAGCGACTCCCGGACGGCGGCGGAGGCGGCGGAACCTTCGGAGGGGGCGACAGCCGTCCCGGCGCCGGTCTTCCTGCGGGAAATTTCACTTGGGAAGAGGAAAGCTCGAGGGGTGAGGGGAGGGGGTAGAAATGAAGAGCGGCACGGAGGGGGGGCGCTTCATGTGCGTAGGTCTCGCTTCTGGAGTCTACGGGACAACAAGCGGGCTGCTGCAATGGATCTTCGCTACCAACTCTAGGGTGTTTTGTACATAGCCAGATGCAACTTCCTCCTCAAAAAGACGGGTGTGTTCGATCAATAGTCGAACCAATCATAGTAGCGCATATCGATTCAGAATTGGACTAAATTTTTTTCAATCGTCTTGCTCGAAGCAAAACAACCCCGAATCGGACCGACAACCCACCAGGTGGCAGCGCTTGATTTCTCGCCGTGCGGCGACCTCATCCTCGCCATGGCCGGCGGCGAGGGTCAGTCCCTGAGCGTCTGGGACTGGCGGCGCGGGGAGCGGCTGGCCGCCGCTAGGGCCGAATCCGTCCACCTCCCCGCCAGCTCCGTCCGCTTCAACCCGTGGCTCTTCCTGCAGGGAACCAGCGCGGTAGCGGCCGGCCTTGACCCCGCCGGCGCCGCGTGCTACACCCTGGTCAGCTGCGGGGAGAGGCACGTGAGGTTCTGGGCACTGACTCGCGAGTGGTGCCCTCGACGTCGCGGCGGCGGCGGTGGCGGTGGGGTAGGCGTTGGCGGAGAAACGTACGAAGATGGGATGGGTGGGAATAAAAGAACTGACGATGGCCGTGCTGCTGAGGAGGGGGAGCACGGCGACGGCGGGGGTTGGAAGTGGAGTCTCAGTAGCCGGCCCGGAAACTTCGGGGTGCGGGGAGAGCTCGGCACAATGACCTGCATGGCGTTTATCGGGGAGCCGCGAGCCGGCAAGGAGGAGCGGCAGCGGCGGAAGAGGCAAGCGACGGGGGGGGCGGAGGACGGCCGACTGCCTTTACCAATGGCGAGGGCGATCACCGGGTCTGAGAATGGACAGGTGTGTAGGGGGTAGAATTCTCGGAAAAATATCATGAAGAATATGTAGTAACCAACAGACGTCGCTGAAGGTGCACTGGGTCACGCGAGACTTGAAGTCACACAGAGGCGGAAAATCCCGCGCTTTATCTTGGTTTGCGTGAGGCGGTCTTACGGTGCCAGTGAACCAGGAAGCGAAGGGCATCAGCGGGATGCACACAAACGCTAGACACAGCAGTCACCCTTTATCACTGACGGAATGACCGAACGACCCCCTCTCCCCGCCGTCACCCTTCGTCGGCCACAGATCTATTTCTGGGAAATTTCCGAAGCGAGGCAAGGCAAGCGTCACAACAAGCACCAAACCTTGCCATCGCACCACCATCCGACGACAGTCTCGCCCAACCGGAGCGATGGCGGCGGTGAGAAGACGGCGCACGAGCCGGTCGGGTGGCAACCGGGAGGCCGCCTGCTGGCGGTCGTGCCGAAGGTCCACGACGGAGCGATAACCGACGTCTCTTACCTGCCTCACGGGGAGGATGGTCGACCGCCTCCGGCGGCGGTGGTGGCAGAGGCGGAAGCGGCGCGAGTAAGGTTCGGCGGCGGAGCGGGAGAGGGAGAGGGAAGCAGCGGCGGGCAAGAATGGGGACGGCTGGCGACGTGTGGAGGGAAGGGGACCCTGCGTCTGTGGAGTGAGTTGGAAGTGGGAAGAGCAGGTGTACTAGGCTATGCCTCCAGCACTCGATCGATGGGTTAGGGCTAGGGGTAGAGTGTCGCTTCGTTGCTGCCGCCGTCTTGAGGCATCTGGCCTCTCTCTCTCTCTCTCTCTCTCTCTCT